AGGCTGAAAAGTCCAAACTGGGTGGCTACAACTGGTGAGGGCTTCATGTGGTGTCACAACATAGAGGACGGCATCACAGGGTGGGAGCCTGTGTGACACCAGCCAGCAGCACATGCAGAACTAACACAGCCAGAGAAGAAGCAAGAGGACAAATAGAGGAAACCGAGCTTGCTTCAGGTAATTTATCCAGGCCCTGAGAACAAGAACCGAGAACAGCACTCCTGCACTCTCCTGAGACCTAACTCACTTTCTGAGAAAGGCATCAATCTCTCTTAAAGCCCTAACCACCACCTTAAAGATCTTAAAAGTCCCACCATCTCCAATGTCGGACTGGGAACCAAGCTTCAGCATATGAATCTTTGTGGTACAAACCACACACAAACTACAACATTTTCTCTCCTCTACTTCAGTATTGCTGTCCTCTCTTACTATTTGAGATGTTTTCTCAAAGTCTCATATTCTCTAATATTTGAACTATTACTTAATTATTCATGAATTTATATATACCATCTCCTCAGTTAGACTGTAGACTCCAATGAGGACCTAAATGTTTCTCTGAATCCCTCACAATGCCCAGTAAGTGTTCAGCCTGTGGAAGACACCCAGTGAGTAACTGTCTCATTTTTGAGATGTTTATAGTGGGATTGTGGAAAAGCCAAGTGGAAATTCAGGTATTAAATGGTACTATGTATGTCTCAGCTTTGTCATGGGGTAGGGAAGGGAAATGTTTATCTGATCCTCAGCTTCAGAGAAGGAGAACAGAGGTAGAAAGAAACAAAGAAAAATTCCATGTGTTGAGATATACTGTAATTCTGCCACAAAACCTGCTGGTAAACCCATCTACTTCTCCAGCCTGGAGAAGTTTAAATTTAAAGACTGGGTAGATCTTAGCCTCCCTTTCATCAAGAATGCTGCTATTCATTTTTCTCAAACTTATATTTGCAGTAGGTGTTCCTTTAACAGGGCCCAAGATCTTAACATTCCTAACCTCTCCATCCCACCTTGGTAACCCTAGCCTGAAAAACTGATGTGGGATTAAGTCATGAGTGAGATTTCTGACTGCTGACCAAGTTCTGGACTGTATTCTCTTCTCTCTTCCTGGCAAGATAGGGTTAGCAGTTCTCATCTTGCTTTTTTTTTTTTTTTTTTTTTTTAATACTGAAGATTGAACCCAGGGACATTTTATCACTGAGCTACATTTTCAGCCTTTTAATTTTTTTTACTTTGAGACAGGATCTTGCTAAGTTGTTGAGGCTGGCCTTGCACTTGTATCCTCCTGAGTTAGCAGGAGGTGTGTGTTACCATACCCAGCAGCTCTCATCCTGTGCAAGAGACCTCCTAGAAAGGTCACACTGACTGGAAGGAGGAAGTTGGAAATTTGTTTTCAGTGATAACACTTCCTTGGATTGAAATGGATTTATAAACTTCCTGCAATTTTCTAATTTAGAATTCACAATCAGACCTGAGATTGGTGACAACTGGATATTACATATGATAGCTTCACAACTATGAATCTCAGAACCATATATTTTAGCCATTGTTTGGCCACTTATTGCCCATTCAAAATTAATGTCTTATTTTTATATGCATTACTTATAAATGGCCATTTTATGTTCTTGTATTGAGGAGAAAAGATATAAGTAAATTTTTAGCAAGAATGATAATAAGAACTTTTGTTTTCCCTCTGTTCCTGCTGATGGGAAGAATCACAGTCTCTGGGACAGGAGTCCCCTGTGTTTCTCCTTTGCTAGCAAAACAATAAAACTTCTTTTTCCTTTTTTCTCAAAAAGAAAAAAAAAGAACTTCTGTTTTTAAAACTTCCAAGTAATATCACTATATACTTTTTTCGCTTTTCAAATATTCCAGTTTATTTAATGTTCCTGATTTGACTCTCCAGGCAAACACAGTGCCTTTATTTGGTACAACTCCCTGTCAGAACATAGCATTAAATGAGATAATACATGAAACACAGTGCCTGGAATACAGTATACATTCACCAAATGGTAATAATCATCGTAATTAATTAATGATAAGACTCACTTACACTTACTTCATTTGTTCAAAACTGACTTCCTTAAAAATGTAAATGATTCTGGGTATTTTAAATTACAACAGGGGGTAAGTTGGTTTATTATAAAAATTTTCTTGAAACTTTGGGAGCCTAGGGTAGGGAAAAGTTCTAAAAACAGGATAATCTGTCTTCACAAATTTGATCAGGGATATCAATAGTGCAAAGTCATTTCTGAATTCTCAGCTTTAAAATAGTAATAATCTTTCTGTGCATGGTGGTGCATGCCTATAATCTCAGAAGTTATAGACACTAATGCAGGAGCATTGTGAGTTCAAATACAGCCTTAGTAATTTAATAGGGCCCTAAGCAATTTAGCAAGATCCTGTCTCAAAGTAAAAAATGAAAAGATGCTGGGGAGGTGGGTGGCTCAGTGGTTATGTGTCCCTCGATTCACTCCCTTGTTTCCCCCTACCCTGTTAAAAAAAATAAAAATAATAAAAATAAAAATAGCAATAATCTGTAAGTTTTCTAAAATATTTAGATAAAAATATATTTACCTGCTTATGGCAGACAGCCACAGCTTGAAAAGTGGCTGGAGAAAAGTTTAATGAAAGCTATGGCTCATTTTAAGTTTTTTTTTTTCACTAGGAGTTGAACTCAGAGTCTCCTATATGTCAGTCAATCACTGTACCACTGAGCTCCATCTTCAGCTCTCAGGTTATCTTTTCTATACACAAACCCTCCCAATGTCACAAAATTCTGGCTGTAACTATGATCACCAAAGCCAGGCAGGAAGATTGTTTCTTTATGTTTTTCCCAGATAAAAATGGTGAGATATTGCTGGGCGTACTAGGGAATGTGCATATAATCCCAGCTACATGGGAGGATAAGGCAGGAGGATTGCAAGTCTGAAGCCAGCCTGAGCAATTTAGTGAGATCCTGTCTTAAATAAAATAAAGGGCTAGGAATATAGCTCAGTGGTAAAGTGACCTCAGTTTCAATCCCCAGTACTGGAAAATAAACGAAGAATCTAATGTATATTATTAGAAATAGCCAACATCATCCTTTAAAAACCTCCGATTCAGAGAAATGATCAAAAGCCTCATTAAATTGAATTTGATGACTAAGTACTCAAACGAGATGACACATTAAAAGACCCATTCTTCCTTGAATGATATCTTGTTTTAAAATCTAGATGTTTTTCATGGTCCCACTCAATTCTTAAGACCTTCATCCTCAATTTGGCCTCATTCTAGGTTTCTCAGTTCCTTTTTAAAACCTGGAGATTGAAATACATCTAGCTTCATGTGCTTTAGCTTGTAAATCATGTTTACAGATCTGAGAAGGGTGTACTCTGGGAGGAAAGCCCCTTGATTTCCATATGCCTCTTGAGTCTCCCTCCTTATCTCCTATCTTCTCTCCCTCAGATCTTCAATATGGATGACAGATTTTTTTTTTTTTTTTTGTACTGGGAGTGGAAGCCAAGGACTCTTAACTTCTGAACCACATATCCAGCCCTATTTATTTATTTAAATTTTGAGGCAGGCTAAGTTGCTTAGGGCCTGGCTAAGTTGCTGACACTGGTTTTGAACTTGTGATCCTCCTGCCTCGGCCTCCTGAGTTCCTGGAATTACAGGTGTATACCACTGCACCTGGCAGAGTAACAAAATTTGTGTTTTGTCTTGGTTTTGTCCTAAAAGAAACTAGAAAGAAAATAAAAATTTTCAGTGAATTATTTTAAAAAATGAATTATTTTGATTTCTTTCATTATGTAGGATTCAAGAACATTATGTAGGATTCTGTGTAAACTGGGCATGGTGGCACATACCTATAATCTCAGCAGCTCTGGAGGCTGAGGCAGGAGAATTGTGAGTTCAAAGCCAGCCTCAGCAATGGCAAGGTGCTAAGCAACTCAATGAAACTCTGTCTCTAAATAAAAAATGCAAAATGGGGCTGAGGATGTGGCTCAGTGGTCGAGTGCCCCTGAATTCAATCCCTGGTACCAAAAAAGAACATACTGTGTAAACCCAGAATCTATTATCTATCTATCTGTCTGTCTATCTACCTATCTATCTATCTATCTATCTATCTATCATCTATCCATCCATCCATTCAATATATCTATGAAGAGGGCTGCAGATATTCCAAGTAACTTTTCCTATTGGTAGATAAAACTGGAAGTGCTTTATACAACACCAAGAAAATAAGACAATGGACATATTAGCATAATGAGAAACAAAATAAATATTTTATTAAATTAATGCAAGTACAAACAATGACAATAAAATATAGAATTAGATGACATTTCTGCATATGTAATTTACAATGAAACACAAAACAACAGGGTTAAAGTGCTTATAAATCCAACACCATGAGGTGTTGAGACTTAGGAATGGAGTGAATGTATGGAACAAATGAATGTCTTGCTCATCCACAGTCTTTGTATCAAATAAAGGACATTGTCACACAAATTATTGTATAAATAAATAAGTAGAAACATATAACATAAGGGGTTCTGTTGGAGACTCTGTTTCTTCAGTATTGACACGTGGCAAAACAAAGAAGATGCTAATAAATTGCCGGGAGTGAAGGAAAAGTTTTGAAAGGTCATCTGAATCTCAGCGCTTCTGGAAAAAAATATCTTATGAGGCCCATGTAGGAATAAAAGATGGTGACATTGAAGGGTTTAAGCAGAGAAAATGGGCCCTTTCTGGTGCAGATAAGGGTTTAGGGTAGCCAGCAGCCAAGGTACTTTGCTGGAATTTCCAGAAATAACATGTAATTATGCAAGTGCAACATCAAGGTGGAATTTATACTAAGGGTGTGGTGGGGCATGCCTGTAATCCCAGAGACTGGGGAGGCTGAGGCAGGAGGATTGCAAGTACAAAGCCAGCCTCAGCAATTTAGGGAGGCCCTCAGCAACTTAGTGAGACACTGTCTCAAAGTAAAATATAAAAAGGATTGGTGATGTGGCTCAGTGGTTAAGTACTCCTGATTTCAATCCTTGGTATAAAAAAAAAAAGAAAACATATTTTAAAAGTTTTTGACTTGTTTCTTGCATACAGAGTTAATAATAAGGCCATTGCTAGGTACAATGGTACATACCTGTAATTCCAACCACACAGGTAGCAAACACAGGAGGATTGCAAGTTGGAGGCCATTCTCTGCAACTTAGCAAGACTCTGTTTCAAAATAAAAAAGGCTGAGGATGCAGATCAGATCAGAGATAGAGAGCTTGCAGGGCCCCGTGTTCAATCCTCAGTAGAAAACCAAACCAAACCAAACAACAACAACAACAACAACAACAACAAAACAACTCTGCCCTTCAATGCTGAATTGACTCTGGAATGACTCACTGTAACCTGAGAACCCATGGGCATCACTTTGTGCAAACATAAAATAAGCATAAATGGAGAAAAAATGAAAAGAAGGTGCTAAAAATACCACACACTACATAGAGAAGTATGGTAAAGTCATATCAGGGATAAATATAATGCTAGAAAAGGAATTCCAGAGTTATTTTCCACAGTTTTTTTAAAAAAAATACTGACTTCCTATAATCTAAAAATTGCTTTATTATAATGTTTATGTAACTGATATTTTGTCTTGCTCACTTCTGTAGACTCAATGCCTGGCCCAATGCAAGGCACATGTAACATACAAAGATATTTAAACACTTTTTAAATAAACATATTTCTTAAAATAGAGATGTAAATTGTATTCCAAAAGGACAGCAGATAAATTGAGGAAATCTGAATACTGCTATTTACTGCTGTGTACAAGCTACTTAATCTCTTTGCTTCCTCAGCTGCGAAATGGATATAATAGTGGTTGTGATGACAGGAATATATGAGATCATGTGTGTATAGTACCACACAGTTATAAATCTGATATTTAAAGAGAACAGATTTTGCAGCAGACCCCTGAGGTCTGAGAATAGGATTAGTCAAGTCAAACAAAATATCAATAAGTTATATAAGGTCAAATCCTATACAAACCAATGGCTTATTTTCTATGCTTCCAATTTGTAATGTCAGTTACAGAGAATACTAGTATCTAACAAATACTAGATATTTCACTGAACACAAACAAGCAGTTAAGTATAGAGTTTGGTGACAAAATTTTGACTTCTACTCTAGAATGTCTTCAAAAGAAATCATTCATAACCACAGTCATATGACAAGACCCCCTCAGACTGAAAATAAATAGAAACAACTCATTCTTCAACACCGTTGCAACACGAGGAGGTGGAGAAGACAAGGAGAGGCAAAGGGCACTTCTGCAAGAACATCCATGAAATCAGGGATCCTCAACCCACTTTCCTAGCATGAGTGATGGATGGTTTGCTTGGAGACCCTCATTCAGAAGTGTTCTTTGTCCCTTTTACATGCACTAACAAGTCTCTCAGCTTATGTTGAAATGCCCAGGTTTCCTTCCAGGCTCCCCTTTCTACTCCCATCTTTCTTTGTTCTCCTCTTCTTTCCCCAGGTTCCATTTTCAATATTTGGGCCTTTTAATTCCAACATCATCAGCAGCATCCCATAGGCCCTTTCATCCATGAACTCCCAAACAACAGGCCAAGAATCCCTGCTTGAAAAATGTAATTTTCAATGCTGGTTACGTCTCTTCAAACTGTGTATCTGAAGAATGATAACAGTATATTAATTGCATGGGGTCAGGGTTCTGGAAAAACAAGAAATTGGCAAGAAACAAAACTCATATTTTCTAACCATTTGATCAGTGTTCAATAAGAGAAAGAGGCAGATTACATTTATGCTCAATTACCCTTGAATGATAAAAGATGACTAACTTCTGGTTTGCTCGGGAATGTCCTGGTTTTAAAACTGAAAGTCTGATGTCCCGAGAAACCCCCAAGTTTTGAGCAAACTGGGAGGGTCAGTTCCCTAGGATGACCCACACGTAGACTAATTAGCTTTACAGCGCAAATTAACCACCTGATGAAACCTACCTGGGCTTTTTAAACTTGGGCTCATTGTGAAATGCTGTTTCTAACTACATTAAAATGAATTAGAAGATTTGATATAATTGTTTTAAGTTCTATCAGCTGGATGAGGTTTCTCTGCCCTTTTATAAATGTAGGCATTTGTAGCAAAATGAATTGAAGCAGATAGGTGAAGAGTAAGGGTCCATGGTCAAGTTAGTGGGCCCACAAACTTAGTTTTTGGTCACAAGCTGTGTATTTGGGGGTATTTTTAATTACCTTCATGAACCTCTGTTCTCTGCCCTAAAATGGAGATAATTCTAGTATTAGAATACTAGAATTCTCTCATTCTTTTGGTGTGTGGGTTAAGGGGATTAAATGAGACACTATATACCACACACTCATCAGTTAACAGTGCCTGGTATGCAACACTGTAGAATTAATTATCCACTCACTTAAGTCAACATGGTTCCCTGTGGCAGGAGATGTTGGGATGCAGGGCAAAAGAAGGTTAGTGAAGAGAAGCTGCCTTCTCCTTTCCCCTCTTGTCTCCTCTTTCCTATGGAGGGTCAGTCCTAAACCTCCTCAGAATGGAAGGAGTTCTTAGAGTTGTGAGGCAAAGAGGAACCAGCAATTCCAACAACCAGCCTTTTCCAAAAGGAGGGGAGACTGTGATGGACAGAATTCTCCTTGTTATTACTTTAGTTTTTTTATTCATTTTCCTTTAACTTCCCAATTCTTTATGACATTCTTACCATTTTGCTTCCTTGAGTTTATATCTTGGATGCCACCATTCTCCACATCTAGCATTCTCACTGAAGAAAGAGAAATAATTTTCATTTTCATGTAGTACAACACCGTACCTTACACAGTGACTCAAGTTTAAACTCCAGGTTCCTATGAAACATTTTTATTCCCTAGAAACTTAGGTGAATTTCCTTATTCCAAACTCCAAACCCACGAGATTAATTAATTCCGCAGTTTCGAATATATACTTTTGCTCTTAGATTTTCTTTAGGAGTATATACTTTCATTTCTATGGTTTTAAAAAGAAATGGACCATATTCTGAGGCATTTTATTGGTTTTCTGGCCATTCCCAATGCCAACTAATCTTTTCTCCAAGGGAATATTCAAAATGCAAGTTGGTAATAATCATTTCCTCGTGCAAATCCATTCCATCTCGATACCTCTCTGTTACTGAAACTTGACCCATATATTCTGGCTAACTGTCTCAGTTCTGTTAAGGGCCTACTCTTTGAAAATAACTGATCTGTACTCATTCAGTTACATACTTTCCCAGGTCTACCCACCCTCCTAGGGGGCTGTGGGGAATTTCTAAATGAGTATTGGAATTCCCTTCATATTCTACTTCCCTATGTGACATCAGACACCTCTATGTGAACATCATCATTGGATCTCTCGGTACATAATCTCAAAGTATTGGGGGGAAGTGTTTACTCTGAATCATCTTAGGAGGAAATTATTTGAATATACTCATTTTCTTGCATTTTAATCATTCCTATGGGCGTGTAAATAAATAAGCACATGCAATTTATTTTTAAAATTATGTAACACTCTCCTCCAGAAATCTTGCAATATACTCCATGGTAAATATATAGCTCTATAGAAGGAACTCTTTATTTCTTAGGAAACTCAGAAATGAGCTCAAAGGCTGGGATTGTGGCTCAGTAGTAGAGTGCTCACTTAGCCTGTGTGAGGCCCTGGGTTCGATCTTCAGTACCACATCAAAATAAATAAATAAAGGTATTGTGTCCAACTACAACTAAAAAATAAAAAAAAATTTAAAAAGAAACCAGTTCAATATAATGTTGTAACTAATCTAAGACTCAAATTCAATGGAACCAACAGGAATTTAAGTACATTCTCTTCTATAAATTTGTGGTTATTTGCATAGTAGAAAGAAGCTGCATGACACTGAGTCTTCTTCAGCCTCCATACATGCCCATTCTTCTACCTCTTGCCACTATACACCTCATCTTCTGGCAATTCCACTCAGCTTCACTGTGATTGCTATTAACAGTCAGATATCTTGGTGCCACCGTGCAAAACCAAGCCAATTTCCTTGCAGACATTATTCAACTCTCACCCTTTGAAAATGCAACTACAGGATTCAATGCCACCCTTCAATATAGGTGTAGCAAAATGAGCAGCATTGAAGGAAGAGATAATACACAGTTTCACTCAGTGGCAAAGCTAAAATCCATTTGCATAGTTGAAAGTGGGCCTTGAGAGGGAAAGCTAACAGGAAGGCAGCATAAGGCAGTACTCTAACATTCTGAGTGGGATAGATCCCCCCTGATGGGGATTGTCCTATACATGCAGGACATCCAGCATCTCTGGCTCTGCCTATTAAGTGTCACTGTGGCAACAATGAAACCTTCACAGACTTCACATCCCTAGGGGAGACCATTGCAATGAAAGAAATACCATTTTTTCTTAAGCAGATCAGGATTGTCAATGCTGCACCAAAGCAAAACAGTACAGCTCCTAGCTTCACAAAGTGAGTCCTTTGAAGTAATGTAGATGGTTCTGAAAAAGAAAATAAGACCAAAGAGAAAATTTTCATGGGAACTAGTCAGGGAAATAATCATCCCTTGAAGTTTAATTTTATTTAGTTTCAGGTTAATTTTCTTAAATCCTGAAGCTCCTGGCTAGTGAGTGGCTAGAATGATGAGATATCTCTGACAAGAGAATAGATGTAGCATGAGAAGTGGAAGAAGGTCTGGACTTGGACAGATGGACTTGGGACTTAATTCTGGCCCCACTGGACAGCTTTGAGATCTCCAGCAAGTCCTTTAACCAGACTACAAAATGGAAAGGCTAAGAAATTTCTTGTGAGGTGCAATTTCGTGTGTGGTGCTTACATAGTACCACAGGGAATGCCTGCTCAATATCAAATGGCAGAATGCACTATGTTACTTTGTCTTACATTCTTTAATATAGAAGTTGGAAGGCTACTGTACATGGCAAGGATGGCCCACCGTGGAACCTGGAAGGCCAACTGGCACTGTTCAAGGAGTTTCTGCCTCCCCACATCCATGGTCATGATCAAGGACCAATACTTGTTATCTTTTTCCCAAGTTTGAACACTTTGGGACACTATTGGTTTCTCTCACCAGTTTCTCTGTCTGCAGCCTCATGCAGGGGCTAAAGGAGTCCCACAGCACATGAATGCTTGGAGACTTCTAACTCCTCTTTCACCATAAGTCTGTTCTTGCTTAACCTCACTATCAGCTGAGACCCGTGATTCCTAACTTCCTATTTCGAATTTTAAAGTCATAACAGCAGCTGGACTTTGTTTATAAAGCCTGTTAGTTTATAAAGCCTGTTCATACATATTTTGAGTCTCAAAACAACATTACAAGTTAGGCATACCAGGTAAGAAAAAATCCCCAATTTGCAGTTGAGAAAACAGACTCATAGCCGTTAGGTGACTTACTCCAAGTTGCCACACAAATAAGTTGTCATAAGACAATTTTTAAATGGCAGGAATCCACTAATAAAGCTCTTAATTGAAGGCCAATCCCAGAAACAACATCTCTATTTTTTAAAGCCTTTTGGCTCTTTTTGTTTAAAAGAGCACCCTGGATTGGTTTTTCAAATGGGTTGACTTTTCTATCCAATTTTCCAGTAGTTTTCTCTGAAGTACATGGAGTTTTTCTGTCAACATCTACCGGGGGAAGGAGCAATGAAAAGCACTTCTCATCAGAACACCTTTGGGTTTGTACTAATCATCATGCTTATCCTCCTCACTTATTCAAATGGCCCAAGACTCATCAGACACTGTCTCCTATTCTACCTACTTCTGCTGAGTAGTGGGAATAAAAATACTTGAATTTGGGCTCACAGGGTCTCAAATAATTTGCATATACTATAGCTTATTTTTCCCCTTCAAAAACCTTGCCTTATATATATTTATATACCCCCTTCAGGGAATGTGGAACCCACAAAAGTCTAGTAATTTACCCAGGGACATGAAGCCTTTCATTCTATGGTCCAACCAGGATGTCTTGAGTTGAAAACCCACAGAATAGCTTGAGAGAGGCGCATTTGGAGTAAGATAAAAAAGTACATTCCCTTTGCTTCCTGGCCCAGAAACTGTGGAGAGAAGGGAGCAGCTCTGATATGCTAGACGTTGGATTCCTAAAACAAGTCCTGAATTGAGTATTGTTCTCAGGTTCCTCCTGATGTCCCAACTACAAGAGCATTTCCAACATACAACTGGATTGCCTCTTTTCTTACCTGTTTCCTGGATAGTATGAACAGTGTCCTATTCTTCTACAAATACTCAATCCTTAATATACTACGTGGCAAGTAGGGAATATTCCATAAATATTTGCTGAATGTGTATTAAGTAGCATTATGACTTGGATGCATGGAAGTGAGGGAATAGCATAATGGCATACATTTTGTAAGTACTATGCTATTCATTCATTCAACCATCACTGAATGACTATGATGAGCAGGCATAATGGTAGCTGTTAGACATGTTTTAGTAAACACATTCAGAATATTACCTGGGATGACCAATTCAGCGGTATTGTTTTCTGTGAAACTTAATCTCTTAAAAGTACAGTAGAAAATCTCATTAGCTGTTGTGTTGATTCTTAGTGTGCTGGTCACATTGAAAAACTTCTCTTCGCTCTGGGATTTGGTGATGGTGGTTTTAGCACTCAGGATTTGGTGGTCACTGCTTGTCCAGATGACTTCAGCCTCAGGGTAGCCCTCAGCCTGACATGTTAGTTCATATTCCGAGGTGACTGGATCCATAGAAATTCTTTGGCTGATCTCTCGGTATGGTGCTGCGTCATGAGAAAAAAAAGAAGTCAAGGTTTTCTCTAGACATGTATCTTGGTGTTGTCTACATTAGAAACCATCAATGCAGGCTGATTCTCAGGGAAATAGGCTTAATGGTCAGCTTTCTTAGCAGTAGGGAAGCCCTGCCTGTTGACCTCAACACTTCTATTCAAGCACAGGCCAAGTCTGAGCTTTAAGAAACAACTGTCTTGCTAGAAAAATCATGTTAGTATATGAATACATGAACCAGTTTTACTCCACATCATATACAACTACAAGAATGGGAAGTTATACTCCATGTATGAATGTCAAAATACCTTCTACTCTCATGAATAAATAAAAAGAACAAATAAAAAATTTTAAAAACTATGTTAATATATGTATTGAACTCAAACTAAAATATAGACTAAAGTAAACTGTCATCTTTAAACAAGTAGTCTCTCTATTCAAATATGAAATGTCTATTTATTCACATTTTTATGTTTTTCCCAGCAAAATGCTATAGCTTTCATAAAGGGCTCTGTTTCTTCTTAAATTTAATCCTGGATATTTCCTTTGTTTTATTGTAAAGCTGTCTTCATAAACATGAACCTTTCTAGCTAGCATGCACTATACCTTAGACTTAATCGAATAAACTGATTTTGATAGTCATTTACTTGTTCAACTTTGAGTCAATGATCAGAAGTTAGATTTGAAAAGACATACTATGTCACTTGTGAAAATTAATTCTTGTTCCTAGTGACCCTTTTTAAAGTTTAAGTACATTTTTAAATTTGAGAATGGGTTAAGATCTACAAAAAAAGTTGTAAAAATAATAGTTACTATATACTCCTTACCAAGATTCCCTCATTATTCACATCTTACATTACTCTGGTACAACTGCTATGACTGAAGTGCCAACATTAGTACATCACTATTAACCACATTCCATCATTTATTCCATTCCACCAACTTTTCCCTAATGTACTTTTCCTGCTCTAGGATCCCATCTGGGTTACCATAATATGATTTAAAAATTTTTTTTTTATGTTTGCTATTTTAGTACATCTTTTAATTATTACATTCATGGCAGAAAGTCTAATTAGTTTTTAGATAATTGGTTTGAGAACTTTTTAGGATTAAGATACTCAGTCTGCTGACTATTCTAGTAGATTGTTTAATGCTCATATATAGCATAAGATTTATATTCATGTTTACTCATTACAAGTACATCAACATATTTTTAATTCTGTTGACATAACCATTGCTTTATACCTAATACTTTAATGAACAACTAATCATCTATAACTCTCCAATTCTTTACAAAGACATAACAAAAGCTTTGTGATATAATACTTTCACGGAGATTTAACAAAGCAATTAGTATAAAATAAAATAAATAAATAATGATGTGATGTTTTGGTGCTCTTAAATCAAGGAAATCACAACCAATAAAATCAATATAATTATGATTTTGAAACACAAAAATAATTGGGCCATCCATCTTTTATCTGTCATATTTAAAGACCACTTAAAAATGAATCCACTGATTATACTTCACAAACTGCTATTAACATAACAGGATCAAGTTCACATAGCACAGAGCTTGGTTTATGGGTGATTAGAATTTCAACCTAAACTTACTGTTAGTGATAAATACTAGGGTTAAAATTCTTTTGCCTTTTTTTTTTTAAGACTTCTATTATCATTTTAAATGGAAGAAGGGTGAAAAAGGATGCTGTTTCACACAGAGGAGTAAGTACACATATGATGCAGCCCTAAGAGCCAACAAATGAGTGGTTCACTCCACAAGGATTGAGTACATAGCTGCGCATTAGTCCCTAAAGTGGGGCACATGTGTGAAGGTATGGGAAGAAAATGCTAGAACTTCCACTTACACGCATTTCTGTCATATCAATTAAAAAAATAATTTAAGCTTCACAAGCTTTGCTTTTTGACACTGGGTCTCAGTCAGCCACACAGGGGTCTTACAGGAAGAGGACTTTCACAAAACCAAAGGGAGAATGGGGACCCAGTTTGTACTTACTATGGATTTTCAAATTCTAATATCTACTTTTAACTAATCTTCTCATGAAATGAACAACTAATTAAAAACTTTTCCACAAAGAAACCAAGAATTGAAGATAATACTAGTAATTTAAATACAAACCAAAAGGAAATGTCAGAAGGGATTTTTTTTAATCAACTACTTTATGAGGTTAAAACAATAAAGACCTAATTGGACTTGACAAAGTGTGGACTAAAATCCTCAAGATTATCAAGACTGTCTACCTTTGCTAATGATGAATTTTACCCTAAGGTGCATTATGCCTTGCCGTATAAACTAATGAGTGAAGCATCTCAATTAGCAAGATATTAAAAGTATTGCTTGGTAATTTTACTTTACCTTTTGAAGTGTCTATTTTTGTATATTCCTAGAACATATCATGTACCATATGAAGTTGGTGAAAGTCATCCTCTTTGCCTTTTAAAATGTCAATTCCTTATAATACGATCTATATATTACTACAAAGTATATTCTTTATAATTATACACACATTAGTTTAAAATGTTTTACAATTTTTGCTGAATTCTGGTTTACTAGATCTAGAGCACTATGCTAATGTTGGTTGATCAAGATTAAGAAAAGTTCAAAGTAGTTTTGAAGTCATACAACCTGATACACATGCCAGAGGTATAAAGGTAGGCAGAAAAACATGATTATTAATGACAGATTTTAGAGCCAGTCTGCTTGGGTTTAGAACTCAGTTTTACCACTTACTAGTCTGATGGCCTTGGATAAATTGCTTGATTTCTCAGCCCTCAGTTTCCCCATTCTTAAAATGGGAAGAATAATGCCACATATCATTGAATCTAAGATACTTATCAAAAGTACACATTCAAATTTCAGAGCTAGTAAAATGTGAAAAATATTCACCTTAGACAAGAGTCATGTTGAAGATTAAATGAAATGATTAGCCAAAAAAGCTTAATACAGAGCTTAACCCATAGAAGTGCTACCCAAGTGTTAGCAGTAGTACCGGTAGAGCTGCTTCTCTTCCTCTTTTAATACTGAAGTGTACTCTTGTGGCAGTTCCTGATGAACACCATTGGAAATAAATTTCCACATATTATAACCTGTTCACAAAAGGTGCAATAACACCCAAAGTGATAAGAATTGAGTTAATCCAAAACCAAACCTTTCCAAATTTCACTTTTGAAATGCTTCACTTATAAAGCCCCGTGGTGAGTAAACTCCCTGTGGGGAGCTGTGTTACCACATATTTGCAGTGATGGGAAGAGAAGTCCAAGAGCATTACTGTGAAATCATTTGCATAAAGAGGTGACTCAGTAGTTCTATTTCCTTAGGTTGTAAAATTGTGCAAGCTAGCCACCAAATGTCCACAGGTGGCAGTGCCTCAGTGCAACTGAAGCTTGGTGGCTGGCTTGTTCTCAACACAGAATGTTGAGACCTGCTTTAGCTCAACTCATCTTCCTGTATGCAAATAACAAGATGGTTTGGGATGAGAGGCTAATTTATAAAACATAATTCCTGTATGCAAATAACAAGATGGTTTGGGATGAATGGCTCAACAAACCAGGTTTCAAATCTGGTTGGTCACTTGCTTTGCTCCATCAAGGATCCCTCCTAGGAAAAACCTTCAGTGCTAGAAGATCTTTTATTATGTTGAAGAGATATTATAGAGCCACAGATAACCTGGTATAAACTCTTTCTCATTTACAAAGTCAGCCATCTGCCTGCATCCTCCTGACAGGCTGATCAGAGACCTTTGGAAACAGAAACTTAAACTCTATGCTTCCTTCTTCCTGACTGCCAGATTGATGTTCTTTCACCCCATCCTAGATCTAGCAAGCTTATGGCTTAAAGCTTGCCAATTTATTTAATTGCCTTTGAACACAATAGATACCTAATATTGCTGATGAACCCAAGAAAAGTTGACGATTTAAACAACCATATCCCAAGTTTTTTTTTTTTCCCATGACTGTCTTGAGGGAGAAGCAAATGGTGAAACATAATGAAAATCAAGTCTACTTCATGAGGCAAGTGACATTTTCTTAACATCAGTAGCATTAATTAAGCCAGCATCAGACACCCAGTAATGTGCCATAAAATGGATGCATTTCTCCTAATCACTAATAATTTTATTTTTGAATTTATAATTATCAGTGATCTTTCATAATAAATCTAAATTTTCCTGTTTATATCATGGACCTTCAGATTGATGAACAAACAAACCAGAAATAGAAGATCCTTTGGGGTTTTTTTGTTCTTTGTGGGAGTTTGGATTAGCTGCTCATTCCTGGGATCCTTTTACCTCTCAATTCTATGAAACTCAACAGTGAAAGCAGAGGTGGTCAGCTAAGGTGCTTTCCTTCCCTTAGCTAGTACCAACCCAATACTTTGAACTCTAGTGACCTGATGACATAGTTATGGGTCAGTACTCAGGAATTAACACTTACAGTTCCTCTTGAACACTCCAAGATAACACTGGTACATACACTCTTAAGATAAATACATGCTTGGTGATCAGAGTTGTTGGCATCTCTGGGGACAAATGGCTTTCTTTATACTTGATGTGATTATTTTTTGCCTTCATAGATTGGCTTAAACTGTTATTGAATGTGAACCTAATTATGGGATTTGTTTTAAATATATTTATTGGGGTTTGAGAGATACAGACATTCCAAGAAAGGAAAATACAGCAGACCTAATAAAATTAAAAAACAGCGATTGAATTAAAATAATAAAAAATAACTTCCAAAGGGATATACAAATAGTATTAACTATATTTGCATGCTGTAAAAGATAGTGGTAAAGGGAGGAAGGAAGCTTTTGCAATTCATTTTATTCCTTTCCATAGCATCCAAATTATTTGCAGGTACATGTATTGCTTTTATAATAATAAAAAAGTAAAAACTGGGAATTTATTATGTGGAAAACTGAACATACCGTATAACATGGCTCTGTGTTACTTGACTCTGGATCACCAGAGACTGCCAAATAAAAGGTGCTCAAAGAAGTACTCACTAGATGAGTATATGAATAAATTAGTGAACAGGTTGCTGGTATTCTTTTTTTTTTTT